GGTACAAGCTGCTGAAATGGGCTTTCTTAGACGAGTCGCTGGCCTTACGCGTCTCGAGATGGTCCGGAATGGTGACATCCGGAAGAGCCTTGGAATATAGCCTTTGCTTCTCCAGGTTGAGAAGTCACAGCTGCGGTGGCTTGGGCCTGTGTTGCGAATGCCTACAGAAATGATGGCTAAGGAACGTTTCCTTGCAAATCCGACCGGCTAGAAGGCCCAGGAGACGACCAAGATTAACCTGGTGCAAATATATGGAAGGAGTCTGTTCCAGACTCCATTTGTTTTTTGCCGATGCTCAGACTCTGGCACAGGATTGGGAACGTTGGAAACTCTGTCTGATGTGTCTGCCTTCGCGGCCCGAAAGGAGAAGCGGCGATGATGATGAAGATGAAGATGAAATTTTAGGGTACACTCTATTACCAAGTATACGATTTTTGACTGCATAAAGAATGCTTATATACTTTTAGACTTTTCTCTCTGTTTTATGACTAGTCGATATTTTTGAGAACTGAGGTTTAGCGCGATGGTTCTTTCCTGCTATCTGATTTCTGGCTGGTTGATCGTAGACGAATATAGCGAATGGTTTGCTCAAGAAAATTCGCAGGTAAAATGAGAAGATTGACGCTGCGGGTGCATGGGGTTTGAATACAGCACCGCTAAAGATCTTGCAAGGCAAGATCCTAATCCACTGCGTTGTTGCCCTCCCCCGTTTAGAATTGCTGCTTGCAGGTTCTGTCTTCCGCAGCAATTGTTACCTAAAGATCTAATTTTAGTAATGACAATTTAAAGACGATTAGAGACCGAAAGACATCATAAGCGTAGACCAACATAATCAACAACAACAAACTCTAATAGAATCTGTGAAACATAGCTCGCATTCAAGGAAAGATTTACAAACAACGTTGCTTACAAATTGCTCTTCTGAAATATTTGCGTGTAATTAAATTTTCAAAAGCAGATTTACTGAATGTTTCTTGCCATTACCTTACTGCTTGTTTACAAGATTGACGATCGAGTTCATCTGTGACACTTACTATACTTTTCAGAATCGATTTTTACCACTTTAAAACGTATTCTTCCATTAAAGCGGGCTTTTCATACTTGTCTGCGTAGTACCCTGC